TTAAATGCCCAGTTCTGACCCAGATGTAATAAAAAGTACCCTTAGGGGAGCTGTTGGGTGTTGAGCTTTCCTAACAGTGAATCGTTTCTATACAGAAATGCAAAGAGATAACATGGTGGAGCCCTTCTTTTTCCTTCTCAAAACAGTGTTTCTGTTTTAACTAATTTATGTATCTTGTTTAAAATGAATCTACTCCTTGAAGCCACGTGCAATGTCAGAAGTCTTTAGAGTGACTCCGTGAATAATGCAGGTCTTGCTCCAAACTCTGAGGTCACCAAAGGCCTGAGAGGAGCAAAAAAAATTTTTCAATAATGTAATTAATTAGAAGCTGAGTGAAAAATTGCAGTTTACCAAGTTTTGAATTACTTGTCTTATGGTTACTTTTCTGATACACGGTTTCATTGTCTTCAATTAAACGTGGCTTTCTAAGTGCCTTAATGATAGCATAACCGGTTATATGAATACAGGTGAAGGTATGGATTTAATCACGAGCATGAATTCGACTTTTAAACCTTCTGGCATAAATTCAGACTGCAAAACAAATGTGGCATCACGCAGAGGAGAGAACCCCAAGGTGTCTCACAAAGTCAGAAGTGTTAGATCGTAAATGTTTGCACACACGGGAAGGTAGTCACAGTAAAAGAAACTGCAAATGCATGAAAATCCATAGCATAGATGCTTAGAAAAGGTGATATCTGTACCTATAGACATCTGTGTCATAGATGTCTGTAAAGCAGCCAAGACAGAGATGGTAGCAGCAGGATCTTCCTCACTGATGCCTTAGTTGTCTTTGGAAGGGGACCTGAAGCTCAGATACCTGAGGAAGGAAGGGTGCCAGCCCCTTTGCCCGTGTAAATCGGCATCTCTTCCTGGGCAGCTCCAAGTGGGGATCTGTCCTGGCAGAAGTTAAAGCTGGATTGAAGGTCTTGGTTGCTTGATTTTTGCACTGAGGTGAAGGGATCTGGTACGTATTTATTTTTTATTAGAAGTGGAAAACTTCACTGGCTGTGAGGCTGAGGATGAGATGGGGAGCCATTAGCTATTGCTTCTGCCAAAGTGAAAAATACCAAGGCAAAAGTAATTGGCCTGGAGAGAGTATTAGATAGACCATGAGGTGTAGAAACTGGATTGTTTGTTTTATCTTGGTGCGGTGGTCATTCACCTGATTACAGTAGTTTCTCTTACAGTATAATTAACATTTTATTCCACTGAGCATCATTGTATATCAAATGTCAAGGGGACACAGCACAGTATGTTGTAAATACTGGGTTTAGCATCTAGATGGCTAATTCAGTGCTAATATCATTATCAAAGGTTGCAGAGGAAGAATGTCCTAAAAGGTCTATTCCCCATTAAATCATCTCCTGCAGTTATTCAGATGTGACTAATCTTCTGCAGAAACTTTAATTTATTTATTTGGTATGACCCCTTGTTCTTTTTAAGAAATGTTAGAACAAAACCAAAGGTAGAATCACTTTCCTGTGCTTGTATTTGCTTCCTGATTAATTTTGGTCTCAGGAAAGCAAAAATGTACATTAGCAATTTCACACCTTGTTACATCTTCTGTTTGCTTTCATCACACGAGGGCTGTTCTTATGAATGGTGAACACAGACATGAATGATGTAATATCCCTCTTTGGGGCATATGTGCAGATTGCTTGTAAAGCAACGTGTGAACAATTCACGGCGTATGTCCACCCTCTGTAGTGTCAAGGCAGGGATTTGAACAAGACTTCTGCCTGCTTATGCAAGAAAGATGAGAATTTACAGCTTGAGATACCCTGACTCTTAGATGAATTTATTTTTTCACATGTTGTACTCCAAACGCTTACGTGAATTTATTTTTTTTACCTGTTGTACTCCAAAAGGAAGTGCTCCATGGCTTGGCTTCTTTCTATTAAGAGGATGCTGCCCTTGCAGAAGCAGTGACCTTTGAAAAGCAAGTCTCAAGAAATCCTTTTATTTTCCTGAGATCATGTAGCACAGTATCCAGTTGCAGGCTTTTAAGATGGAATGATTGCAGACTTTGTCCGCTTGCCTGGATTGGATTACATTTTGTTTGACAAAGAAAACTCTAAAATACTTATACCTTCCTTCCTTCAGTTCAGTGCGTCGCAATCTCCATGTGTTGAGGATGCAGAGTAGCTGCTGTATCATCCCAGCACCGCTGGGATTTATTGAATTTACTTAATTGGCCTTTATCTCATGGTTACACTTTAACGCTTCTTTTGAAGGAGATTCAAAAAGGATACAGTTACTCCTTTTCTAATTTACTTTGAGAGTTGGGTTACTCATTTCCTTATCTTCCCTCCTTTTCCCGGTAGAGCAGAGCATTCTGCAGAGCCGTGATTGAATGTGTTAGAGACTTGGATGGCAAGAGACTTAAGTCCATGAAGCTGTTAACTAGCAAAGCTTTTTACACACTGCTTTTTAAAGAAGATGCTCTGTTTTAAGGGAGTAGGGATGGGCACTTTTGGATGGCTGGTGGTGCATTTTGTGTTGTACCATGCTGATGGAAGTGAGCAAAGAGCTAAACTCCCCTAAACCTCCCAGGGAAGGGTTTTGTGGCAGAGTTCAGGTCTACTTGTATCGTTCTCTTTGTTTTTAAAGCACTTAGGAGCTTCGGTCCTATAAACACTTCAGGAAACCTCAGTAAAGTGGATGAGAAGTCCATTAACTGGTCAGGTAATCTTGACACCAAGAATTGCATGGTTTTCACCTTCCCGAGAGGCATTCCATAAAAGGGAGGGCTGAGGTTTCCCCTCGCTGCACTTCTCAAGTTTGCTTTTGCTAATAGAAGTTCAGAAAGGTTTAATGCTCAGGTCTTTCTCCATCCTGCCAGACCTCTGCTGTGAGCTCTACAAGCCTGGGATAAGTGTTGCAGGGATTTGGGGGCACTGGAGAACAGTCCCAGAGGCCTACAAGTCCCTTTTTCTGAGTACTTTGGTGTCCATCCCCTCATGTGAGTGGCTCATGATGAAGTGGCCAGTATCATCTATGTAGCTAGGGTTGTACAATTGCCTGTTATTTGGCACCACCACCCTACACTGATTTCCGATGCCTCTGAAACCCTTTTCATTAGAAGGGAAGTTTATCCTAGCTTAACAGGAGTTCACTACTCGCTGTGTCTTCTCTGAGCTAACGCATCTGACCACACACATGTGCATGGACTGTGTACCTCACATGCATGACTCAACTCGCTGTGCCCGTGCATGCACCACACATGTTTAGGCACCCGAATTAAGTAATAGAAAGTCCTATACCAGATTAGCTATTGGAGTCTTGGTTGTTATTTTCCTTCACATAACCCAAAAAAATTGTGGAGTACGTCAGCCGAGGGTAAGGTGACTTTTACGGATGGAAAATTGTTGGTGATCACCGTGTGGTGCCTACATAAATAATGCGATCATTCAAATCAAGGTGGTTTTCACTTGCTCGATGGAGCAGTTGTGAGCATGGTAGTGGATGCGCAACCGAAAAACAAGCGTTGTCTGTGCATCTCGATGCCAGCTTTCCAGCAGAAAACAGTATGGGAATGGCCACCACCTTTCAGGATCATCCAAGAGCCAGGTGTGGGAGAGATTAGTAAACAGGAGTGAGAAAAATGATGGCTGGAACGAGACTGAGATGCAGGAACTTGCTTTAAAAGAGGAAGCTCGCTGCTAGCCTTCAGTCCAGGAATAATTGTTTTGGGCCCTTACTCTTTTTTGGCTGAAGATCAGGCCTGGAAAAATTAATTTTTTTGCTGTCTTTATTTACTTAATGGGTTGGGGTGGGTTTTTTTTTTTTGGTATTAGAATAATTAGCTAGTCCCACATATAGAAATCTCTTTATTTTAGTTCCAAATACATTTTGTAAGATAAAATAGGGTCATTTGCTACTGCTCTTCGCACTCTGTTCCCACACAGGTGTTTGCCGTGGGTCTCCCCAGCCCCCCGTAACCCTTGGCAAGAGCTGGCCTGTGCAGAGAGTAAATCAAAGACCCTTGGCCAGGTGTGGGCTAACTTTTCCTCTGCAGAAGCTGCTCTTGGCCCTGTAAATTGAAGACTCTGAGCTCCTCCTGTCCCCTTTTCACTCAGTGTTGTTTCCTAATCTCTGGCCTGAAATACCTGGGGTGTTAGAGTTGCATTGCCCATAGCAACTTCTGCTAGGGAGCTGCCAGGGCTGGTAACAACAATAACTTGAAAAGTCTCTCTGCAGATATTGGACTGAAAACAAAGGATCAAACCTGTTTCTGATGCACAAATGTGCTGCAAAGGGCAGATAACCTTTCAGGGCTGCTTCTTAAAATTAATAAGCAGAGTTGGTATTGCTGCTTTTATTCCGCTGCTTCCCCAATCACGCCGTGAACTTCCCAGCCGCGATCGCCATTAAAATCTTTACAGTTGCCATTTGGAAGGAATTAGCATCACTGTATGAGCCATAACACCCCGGCGGTATTTATGGAGAGCAATTGAATTATAGAGGTTGTAATGGCCTTGCTACCCTGTTCTTTGGCTGTGGAAGGCAGGGGCTGAAAGATGTCTGGGTTTAACTACTGCACAAGCCAAAAAATAAATAGTTAAAGCGCCTACGTAACCTGAGGTCTTCTGTAAAATACCTGCCTTCAAAGCAGCTGGAAGAAAGCAATATGTAATCAATATGTAATTCTGTTATGGCAACACAGCCCCCTGACACATTTGAAAAAGCAAGTTATGCGGATTATGTGTTTGGAAAGTGCTTGAAAAGACAAGATTGGTGTGTCAGCCGCTGCTGGTCGTTCACATCGTTCCTTTACTCGGGTGGGCGACGCTGGTCAGATCCTCAGCTGCTGAAAATCTGTTCGAATCCAGTTGTTAAATATGGGCAAGTACCGCTGAAGTGAGAACAGACCCCGCTGTTGGGGCGTAGCTAAGGATCGCCTGGCGTCGGAGGGTGCGATGGCGAGCTCGGTGTCAGCAGGGACAGGCCGTCTAACTAACCGTGGTTTTTGTCTGTTCTGTTTTTCTCCTGTCTTGCAGCACCTTCTCCAGTCAGTAGTGTGAAAAAAGGGAAGATAACTAAAAATAGCATCTCCCTTTCCTGGCAGGAGCCAGATCGACCCAACGGCATCATCCTGGAATACGAAATCAAATATTTTGAAAAGGTGTGAACGGAACTGATTGCTGAGCATCCCAAGTACCTTCTCTAAACTGTCCTCTTCTTTTAGTTATAATTATTTGAGTCCTGGAAGGGAACGTAGCGGTTTTGTGCATAAATCAAGATTGATTTTGCAGTAAATGATTAGGGAGACTTGAAATGAGGGTGTTGTTTTCCATTAGCGTGCCACTTCTCTTGAACAAATACAGTAAATCTGCGTGTCAGATTCCTCTCCGGCCTTATCACATTCAGAGAGCCTGCTCACTTGTTAAAAATAGGAGGGGTTGGGGATTGAGCATCTATCTCCTTCTGGAAATATCAGGCTATACCTTCCCCCTTTGGTATTTCAATTTCTCACTTGGTTTTGCATCTGCAGTGTAAGGAGAGGAGAAGGGTTTTCCAGAGAGATTGTATCTGCTCTGATGTGAAGAAGAGCATCCTGCCTTAAAAGCTTGCCTGGGTTTTCCGGCCCTTGTTCTCGGTGTAATGGAAAACACTCTCTCTTCCTACAAAGCTTGCCTCCCCGAGTCTCCATTTCAAATGGCAACTTGTTCTCTTCCTGCAAAATTCATGCAGTTTAAATGAAAACAGTAACGGATGCAGTTTGTCTAAAGAGTGTCTTTTGAAGCAGCCGAGTGTAGATTTCCAAAAATCAGGTTTGCAAGAGTTGACTGAAGAGTGGTTTCTTGCCTTAGCTGGGACTGTGCATTTTTCTTCTGAAACAGCCAGGCTTTCTACAAGAAAACAAGAGGAAAACTGAGTCACAGTTCACTTTTTTTGGGGTGTTGAATTTCTATTTTAAGGACGATCTGCCATTAGTTCTGTCTGTGCCCCAGGGGAGGCACTCAGCACAAACTAGGACTGGGTCCTTGCGCCTCCTCTCCTCTTTTTCAGACCATGGGAGGGGCCTGCTCAAGCAGCCAATGCAGCAGGGGAAAGAATTTCAGAAATCTTTTCCATCAGGTTAAAATCCATGTTATTTTTGCAGACGAATGAGCTTGGGCAAGGGCACAAGATGTGAGAGTGGCTTAAATAGGGCTGAGGATTTCAGAAAGATTAAAGCACAAAGCAAGAATCAGGATATACTATTGCTGGAAATAATCCATTACTGATTCTTTCATTAACTTGTTTGAATGACCGTTGTGGTGCATTGACTCCTTTCTGTGGAGTGGCCTGGGAAGATTAGCCTCTAGAAATCTTGACAATGAACAAATAATTAAAGCAAGAAAAATCCGTATATTTATTTGTTTTCAAACAAATCGGGGTGTGGGGCGTTAAAATGCTGTATCTGTGGTCCAAAGCTAGTGTCAAATCACCTCAGTAAATAGTTCTTCACATGCAAGTCCTTCATGGGGAGGTAGCTACATCCAGTCCGAGTTTATGACATCTTGATTTCTTTCTTTGGGGCTGACAGTGAAGCTTTTCAAGTTTTTAAATGTTTGCAGAAGCCAACAGCGTATTGAAAACCTAACCTGACGTACAAGCCAAGATGCAAACTAATACTCACTTATTGCTTTTTAACCAGTCGTCGAGTTAGATTTGGGATGTCATCCTTAATCCTTCTGGTTTGTTGCTACTGTCATTTATATTCTCTCGGATTTCAGCCCTTCATAAGGAGAAATTTGCAGCATTCGTTTCCAAGGGATAAGAATGATCTATATTAAATATTTTGGAAAATTGAATTTTGTCAGATCGCATTCCTTTAAGAGACATCACTCCTTAACAAGAGAAAAAAGGATTTTTTTTTTTTGAGGAACATATATATATATTTCTCCAAAATAATCTTGTGTAGCTACAGGCTTCAGTGAGAAAATCTGTAATCCTACACTTGGAGATTCCAAGGCCATTATCCAGGCATATGACTTTCTCTGAAAAGTTGCCCATTGAATTAAAAAGAAAAAAGAAACACCACTCTGGATCCTAAGACCTATGCAGAAATCTTGGTAGGGAATTACTAAGAACTCCTGTTTACCTCATAATAATTTGGATCTGAGAGGATATGGCGAATGAAAAGCAGTTTCCCAAGTTTTCAGTCCTTAATTTATGAGCTCTTGTCTAGATTATGTGTTACAGTAAATAATTCTAAGAGTAATTACCAAGCATTTGAACAAAATTTTAATCAAAGAACTGAAACTCTTTTGCATTAGCAGCTGATGTAAATGAGGATTTATTTCAGCAAATTTCCTTCAAGTTCATTGCTTTAGAAGAATAATGTAAAATTAGACATTTTCCTGTAGTTTTGGTTTATTATTTCCTTCCCAAGGCCTAATTCGTAGTCCTAGAAATGTCAGCATGAAGTTGTACAATGTATATTGGTCTCTTTTAGGCCTAACTACATTACTAGGAAGTTGGTTTTGGTACAAATTAAAATCCCGTTCTAAGGTGATGGACCTGTTTCCCTCTTCCCTGTGCCTTGGAATTGATGTTTGTAGCATGGACGTTTCCATTGCCCCAGGCTGTGTAGGTCCTGGGGAATGGAAAGCTGCTCCTGCTGCAGACACCGGTTTGGTCCCCTATTGTCACTGTGGGTGGAAGGTCCCTCTGCTCTGTTTCATACCTCCGAGGGTCATTGATTATGAAAGAGAAAACCACTTCTCACGTTTTGTACTGCAGAAAGGGACTTGGGGGGCGGGTTTGGGAAAGACATCCTCAAAAATGCGTATTTCAGTCACCCTTTGTAATGTTGCGGTGGGGGTTGTTGAGGGTCTGTCTTCTCTGAGAGACATTATTTGTGTGTTTGAACTTTGTGTTTCTTTGGGGGGGTGGGAAAAGGACCAAGAGACAAGCTACACCATCATCAAATCCAAAGAGACGACGATCACGGCAGATGGCTTGAAACCAGGCTCGGCGTACGTCTTCCAGATCCGAGCCCGGACAGCTGCCGGCTACGGTGGCTTCAGCCGAAGATTTGAGTTTGAAACCAGCCCAGTGTGTAAGTCCTTTTAATTACTGTCAGCCCGTGTCTCTGGAACAGTTACCAGAAACGAGGCAGGGGATCGATACCTTTGCAGAGAGCTTCTCCTGGCCTCATCCTTTGCCTTTGGAAACATCGGGCACATCGTGACTGTGCCCTAGACAGGCTAACACTTTGTCCTTGCTTCCTCCGTTCACTCGGTGAGGCGGGACGTGAAGTCAGGGAGTCTTCAGGCTCCAGAAATTCATAGCGTTCCATGCTTAGAAAAATCCTGCGTTGGTGAGAGCTGAAGCAGGAGAGGACAAGGAGAGGGATGGAGGGGATGAGGCCTGCTCCTCCACCCCTCTTCATGGCTGGCTGAGCGGGCTGATCTCTCTTTAGTATCTGCATCCGGGGAAAAACAAACCTGAAATGGTGCATCCCTGCGAGGGGAAAAATTGAACCGGCGTTAGCATCTTTTGGTGTACTGTCATGTTGAAAGATGGCTTCTGTCGGTTGCCAATGCCACAGCCTCGAGGAAAGGCATTTGACTTTTGATCAGAAATGGGAAAAATGTGCACTGCAGGCGCAGGACTTTTGCTTGGCCTGTTAGGAATTGGGGGAGGGGGTGGGTTGGAATTTTTTTTGAACGAGTCTGCTCATCCAGGTCTGGATTCTGGAACAGATGCTGTGGCAGGATGAGCTCCCGAGGCATGCAGCGGCTCAGCTACTCTTCCCTCTCTCTTCAGGCACAGCTGTGGGGAAATTCTTTTTGTCACGATTACCACATTTTTGCAGGGGTGTCAAAGATAGTTTTCTCCCTCAGAAAATATGTTCTATCTATTTCAGTGTGTACAACTGTCATTTATTAATTTTTTATATTGTTTGCGTGGAAGAGAAATTTTGTGGTTGAAATGCTCCATTCATTCCTGTGGGGAAAAAGCCAATTTTCTCTCTGTTTTCCTTGGAAATTTAAATTCGTCAATGCTTTGATTACTGTTACTCCAGTTCATTTAAAATTCATCATCTTGGAGAAGAAGATGCCAAGTTGTCTTTTCAATACATGCTACCTTTGAAGCCGTAATAGATTTTAAAGGAATCATTATACATGTGCAGAAGTAGCAGTGGAGCCAATGATTAAGCTAATACAGTGCAAATGGCATCACGATGCAAACATTAATGCAATAAGAATGGTCTATTTAATGCCCTTCTTATTGTATTAACCATTAATTGTACCCTATAAGTAGCAACAAAATTATGTTATGCCAAAAATTATACTAGGGAAATTCTGCTTGTAGTTGGAAAGTTTCTAGTTTAGTCATTTGAGTAATAGTGTTCCAGGCTATTAATATATAATACATTAAATATATGCACATTTGATGCGGTGCTGTCAGTACCTACGATCCTGGTCCAAAAATAACAGCACTTCCATAAAGCCCATCGTGTTAATCAGGATTTTTTGCAGACATCCCTTAGTAATATCTTTTAAACACCTTAAACCCCTTGAATCATTTAGTCACACCTGCACCCCAGTCTTTTTAGCGTTTTAAAGGCAAAGGAATAGGGACTTCTCTGATGGTAAGGAGCTGCTGGCACAGTCGGAGGAGTACCTGCTGCGTGGTCCCCAGTTTGGGGGCTGGGGACTGTTCCTCTGTTCGACGTGAGCTCTGGCTGAAGCAGGACTTAACCAGATGTTTAAATGCTTGGTAGAATTGAAATGCAACATAAGCCTCGGTATCTTGCAAAATGCAGCTCCGATTGACATTTAAAAGCTTTTAAAAAAGCGATTTTTGGGGTTTTTTCCAAGACCTTGTATAGAATCAGTATTAGTGCTGGGAGTGTGACCCACTGCTTTCCTGCACAAAGCAAGCACAGATCAAAATCTCACTGTTCCATCAGAGTTCAGATCTGAACCTCTCGTTAGAGCCAAAGCGAATTATTTAGATTCAAGTGCAAATGAAACCCTTTCAGGGACTGTTGTGAGAATCACAAACACCCTCCACAAGCGTTTGGCCCCAGCAACAGGTTTTGTTTCTGGTTCGGGAGGTTTCTGTATTGAAAAGTTATTTTTAATACACTGGGAGGAAATAGGAAACAAAGGCCTGAGGAATGCAGTGCGGGGGAAGCTGTAACTTGGTTCGGACTTTTCTCTTTTTCCAAATTTTGGGGGGTTTTCAGGGATTGCTGCCTGCACGTGCAGTTCTGCAAAGCGCCGCAATGCAGCCTGGGCTGCGTTTTTCAGCGGAAGCTTTTTGTTTGGGTGGAAGCTGTTGCTGGGTGTATCCGCTTGCTGCTGTCCTCTTTTCCAAGTGGCACTGAGCTCGTCTAGCCCTGATACAACTAACCTTGCCAAAAGCTGGTTTTTGACTGGGATGGTGAGCTAATCCAGCGCATCAACCGGGTGGGAGTGGGAGTATTTCACCAAGCCGAGGAGGGGTAATGCAGGTCCCCCCCAGCTTTAAGAGACAGAAAGGTCCCAGTTTATGAATCCAGGCTTTTTAGCTGCCATAGATATTCACAGCAGGATTTATCTCATTTCCTCATCCCTCGAGCTGTGCAAAAAAACACCAGTCACGGCTTAATGTTCTCCTTTAAATGTTTTTCTTTTTAATTATTTTGTCAAGAAAGCAATAAAACATCATCTTAAGGAGCCTCCATAAATCCGTGAGGCTAATAAAAATCTCTGGATGATGGCACGGGTTTGGAGCAGTTAACATTAAATATTTAATGTATCGGGGCCGATCCTTCTGGAATCATTTGCATTACTGGAGCGGGTCCGTGCCACTCGCTTTTGGGCCCCGGAGTGCTCCCGTATGAAGAGCTACTTGAAACTCATTGCAGATCAATGTTTAATGCCATGCCTTTTCGTCTTTCTTTTCTTTGAACAATTAAAATGGGACTATATTCAGTTATTTTATAGCCTCCATAAAGTTAATCCAGTGCTAAGGACCCCTTTTTACTTCAATCATTTAGTTAAAGGCTTCTTCAGCACGTGGTCGATTCATGCTGCTCCCCGGGGTGGATGAAGCTTCATCCAGGGCTGGCATGAGGGTAGGAGCTATAATGAAGATTTTCTCCACGCAGCAGCAATGCTTACACCAGGGAGCTGGTTTTGGGGGAGGAAGCCAGATTTGTACCCCGGGCTGGTTAAACTTATGCAGCTAAATAAGCTGGAGGCATAGTGAGCAGGGTGAGGAGGTTTTGGGTTCTGCTTGGAGAACCCCACCCTGGGGAGTGATGGGCTCCTTCCCCTGCTATGCAGGGCAGATAAACAAGATATAAGTAGTGTTAGCATCTCCATTTTACAGGCTGAAGAAATTTGCTCACCTGCTTGTATTTAAACTTTGGCAAAACCAAGTTCTTGAGCAGCTTTCCTGACCTTTCTGCTGGCCCCTTTATCACAGGACTCGTCGCTTGCCTTCACAAGGCGCGAGCGGAGAGTTCTGCTTCCCTTGGCCGATAACAAGACCAACCAGCGTGTGTGTCTTAGCAGATTGCTGTTTTACAGAGGGCACCTTCTGGCCACGGGATACAGATGCCACAGGGAGTTAGTTTGTCACTGATTATAGCGTCTTGAACTGCTGTTTATCTCGGAGATCCTACTCGTGTCTCTTAACAATAACGCTCCATAAACGTTCTCTCTGCAAACGGGAACCTGTGGGGTTGTTGTGTGTTGTCTCTGATTTCTAGTGCAGCTAGCCCAGGGAGACAGACTCGAGTATGCAAACACAAAGGCAACACTTTGGTTACTGAATTCAGCAATGAGATGCAATTTTGGGCGCTTGCCTCGGTTTTGCATGTGTTTTTGGTTTCTTTCCACCAATTTCCTTTCCAAACTAGAAACAGACAGCAAAGGGGGGGAAACACAAACCGTAAAAGAAGAAATGAACTGGTAAGACTTGAAACCTCGCTGGCAGCCTCGCTAGAAAGACTCATTGAGTGCTGACTATCGTTTTAACCTTAATCTTCATTTTCTGTTTCTCATCTCAGCAGTAGCTGCATCCAGCGACCAGAGCCAGATTCCTATAATTGTTGTGTCTGTAACAGTGGGAGTCATTCTGCTGGCTGTTGTTATCGGTTTCCTTCTCAGCGGAAGGTAAGAGAAGAAGCTGTGCGTTTATACTTCTCCAACTTTTGTGGTAACTTTTATCTGGCCAGCTGATTAGCACGATTTAGGCGAAAGCAGCGTGTGAATGAAGCTGCCGAGCGGTAACGCTGTAAAACAGCACGAGGGTGGGCTGATTGATCTGTTTGGACAGGCAGGGATGGCAAAGGCTCGCTCACAGATGTAGTTCACTTCCCAATGATTTTCATCTTTCTATAGACTGGCCCTGATTATTCAACTTGATTCTCACAGGACTGTTTTCACATTCCTTTAAAAATAAGCAGAACATGTTACTACAGGTAAAAAATATCCTGAAACCCATACGTTTGCTCTCAGAGCTCACAGTGGGCTTTGCTCACAGAGAAAACTTGACTTCAGGAAAACACTTGCAAAGAAAAAGAGAAGAAACCCAGTCGAAATGGCCAAACACCGCAAGTTTTGGTCAGGTCTGGATTTTATTTGTCATGTGTAGGACGTTAATGTGTTCCCCACGCGCTAGTAAATTATACAGAGAGCTCTCCCCATGGAGGGAGACGCTTGGCTTCAAACCATCAGGCGTTGCCTTTGACTTCTCATGTGCTTAAACATAGGCAAGTGATGAAAGCCTGGGCTATACCATCTTTGACAGCTCTAATGGAAGTTGATGGAACTTGTTGGTGAACAAGGGATTGTGGTATTGGGGGAAAATCTGGCTTGTATCAGAATCAGTTTGTACTGCGGCGCTAAATTCACGTAGCAGCCAGCACACAAGGCACTTTTTTTTTTCATATACTACATGTATAGTAGCACATTTTCTTAATGACAGTAGTCAAACGCTGCGACATCCTTCATGCAAAGCAATGCGAGGTGCATCTGTTGGTAAGGCTGAATTTGTTTTCAGTGCACAGTAAACATTTATGCTTCTAAGGTACAAATCACCCCACTGCTGCTTTCATGATACAGGTCTGTCTTAAGCTCGGGTCTAGCAAGGTGGCTGTAAATTACAGGATATTGTAGGTGTTCAGGGTGGTTACAAGGCACTTGCAGAGGAACTGCGCTGATGCTGAACGTACTGGCTGAGGGTCTTATTTCCCAGAGGAGGCAGAGTATCAGTCTGTGAGCACAGCCCGGTGAAATCCAGCCAGGCTGAGCGGCTCTGTCCCCAGGCATAAGGCATCCATGGAAGGACACAGTTATTTCCTGTCTTAAAAGGTAAGTGTGCTGCCAGACTCATCTCCACTCAAGGTCAGAGACTGACAGTCTTCCAGCTCAGCCGTTCAAGCTCCTGTTGTCTGCTGTGAGTGACTTGGTGGGCTTAAAAATGGGAAAGTAAATGCTCCTGTCTGCATGAGAAGCATGCAGCGGCGTGAGGGGGTGAATGGCTACAGGCCATTCACACCAGGGGTTACAGGCAAGCTGTAGCCAAAAAGACTTGGCTCTGAACAATGTGGGCAGGAGTTCAAGTCTCTCCTTAAAGGTTGGAAATTTTGGGGCAAATCCTTCCTCGAACAGAGCGGGAGAGTGTGGACCTTGGCCTGCCCCAGCCTGGATGCATGCTTATATTGATGCAGGCAGGAGGATGCATGCGTAGCTTTAGGGAAGCTATGGATGTAGCCTGGCACCTCTGCAAGGAGGAGTCTGGGGGAGGTGAACTGCAGGTGCAGGGATGTATATCCCTCTGAGGCCATAAGGAATTGCAATTGTGTGGCAACCAGCAGCTCCTGCTCTTCCCACAGTTACTGGCAAGCGGTCGGGACCCCTTTGGGGAGGACATGCCCTTGCAGGTCTCCTTTTTGCTGCTACCCTCTCTGGTCTGAGCAAAGTCTGAGCCGTTTGTCAGCAATTTTCGTTAGTTATGACTTTCTGTCCTCTGCCCTAATGGGTTTTCCAGGATGCGCTTCCTCTTGGCTCTATATCTCTTGGCATGTTTATAAAAGCCCTTGTCTCTTTTAGCTGGAGCTTTATCGTTGCCTCTGCTGCTGCCTTAATCCTCCTACCTTGTACTCGCACCTCTGTCCGTGAACCCCAGGACAGCTGCAGGTTCCTGGGAGCTTCTCCACAGTGCCACGCTGGATGTATGAGAAGGGGCAGGCACAGGGAGCTGAGCTCCTGGTCCATTTGTATCCTTTCAACCCTTCCCCTAAACTGGGAAGAACCCAGTCCCTCAGGGGGAGGTGGTGGAGAAGCCTCCAGCTCCAAGGTTTGGTCCATCGTTAGAGAATTGCCTTCAAAACCACGGAGCTTCTCAGCCGCTCTGGGTTCCCGTGAATTTTAAAGCCCATCTAGTGACTTGTGAGAAGAGAGAACTAAACCCCAGTGGCCCAGAAAGCTGACAGCCAATTTGAAATTAAACAAAGCAAAACAAAAAAATGCTTCTGTGTGGAAGAAGCAGAAATTCAACTGAAATGTGTCAGTCACGCTGCTTTGCCTTGGATATGATTTCGAGACAATTCGTTGAGTGACTCTCCTGCTGTGACACTGCGGGGACGATAAACGCGTTCCAAGTCATGGGATAATCCCTTTCTGAAGCCGTTAACCTGTTTCTGGAAGATGCTTTCCTGTGTCTTGGAGTGGTTCTGTTGTTTCAGTGCCTGGTTCCAAGGGGTTAAATTTCCTTTCCGATGTTTTTCCCTTACTGGCTTTTAAAAAAACAGGCATTTTGAACTCCAGGAGTTGCTCCATCTGGAATCACCACTGTTTTCCATGCCAGGCAAGCTGTGTGAAGCCCAGGCTCTGTCTCTTCTGCTAATGCAGGAGAGCAGGTATGGGCCAGTAGCAAAGCTCATGACAAAAACCCTCTTGCTCTGCCGCAGTGAAGACGTAGGCTGGACACCTCCTGCAAACAGGCTCCTCACTGCTGGCTCCGTGCTCCTCCCAGGCTCCCTGGGGGCCTTGGGCACCTCACAAGTGGGATATTCCTCCGTAGGATGCTGCGTGACATCTCTGTGCCTATCCTCCCAGATGCTGGGCTGAAGTGAGCAGGAGCAGTGAGAAGGGGATATTCTCCTGCTCGCTGCAGCTCAAAAAATAGTTTTCCAGCTGCAGGACTCGGAATTTTGCTGGGCTTTGCAGGATTTTTATTTTCCCTGGAGACAGAAGTTTCCACACCTCTTGCCTCTTTCTTGCTTTCAAGTATCTCTGCAGTTTTCTCACTTCTTTTGAGCAAATGTAAACGACAGCTTGGCATTTCCCGTTGGCAGCTGGCCCTAAACCAGAGGTCAACTGAACGGTGGTCACGGTGGCATTTCCACATGCCAGCGTCCATCTGTGGAAACGTGCTTTGCGCCTGAAGCCGGAGGTGCCTGGGAATTTGAAACTAAATGCACTTTGCCCTAAACAATTAAGCTGCGTTTTAGAGGTGGTTTACTTGCAGATGCTCAGGAAAACGCTTCGTGTAAATAATGCATCCTCCCACCAAGGTCAAAAATGCCACGGAGCAAAATAGCTGATCACTTTTTTAAGTTATCCCACTCTTTGCATCAAGGGCATATTAATAATATAAGGATCAGGATTACAAATCAAAGAGATTCACTAAATCAGACTGTAGTTGTCTCAGCAAAGTAAGAGAAGTGGATTGGAAATCTATTATTAAACCAGCTACAAGCACTGAATTGAAGGACACGGACTTGTTAGGTTTGTTTTGTTAGGATTACATCTCTTCTCGGAAGTGCAATACATTTTACAGGTTCCAGCATTTCCTAGCAATGCTTGAATTAGATGCCACTTGGCATCACTGTTTCGAACTGAAGTATGTATTAATCTAAAATCATGACAGACTTTTGTTTTACAGTCTGTCGGACGATGCCAGGTGCAAAGATCTTTGTGCTCCATCTTTGCCTAGGGAAGCGGTGGAGTCACCATCCCTGGAGGTATTTAAGAGACGAGTTGATGTGGCGCTTAGGGACATGGTTTAGGGTAGACTTGGCAGTGCTGGGTTAATGGTTGGACTCGATGATCTTAAAGGTCTTTTCCAACCAGAACAATTCTGTAATTCCATGATCTTGCTAGGAGGAATAAGATGCAACAGTCGTCATTGTGGCACCAACCCCTTTTTTCCTACTAACCAAGGTAGGAAGCCAGGTTGGCATCAACCTGGGAAGGATACCCACTGCTCCATAGCAGCTCCACCTCTTTTGTCCTTCAAACCAAGCCATGTTTGGAAAACTGCTGGGGTCTTGGGGTGAGTGTTAAGAGACTGATGGTCCCTCTGGTCCCCCAAGCATTTGAGCTTTGTAGCACTGAACAGAGGCATGAGCTTCTGCGGAGTGACATGGGGATGCTATCAGGTCAGTGCTGAGCATGTTTGCAAAAGCCGCTCAAAATAACTAAGAAGTGTACTGTGCATCTGCATTTATAGCCTGCTACACATTATGGATGACCTTTCCCTCTCGAGTGATCTTCCAAAGAACCGGAGGGAGCTTTTTGTAGAAGTTAAGATTAAAAAAAATAGATTTGAAGCAACAGAAAACTGCCCCTCGCCCTGTGTGTCGTGCTTATATAGAAAGTTTCTTCCTGGCAAGGAACTAGCCTTCGAAAGACAAAGCAAAGACAAATCTTGCCACCTGGGTATTGGCAATTAGAGGCTTCTGCACCAGAGTATCCATCCTTGACCTTAGCTGATTTAGACTTTTAAATATCATTCCCTGTGGTGGCAGAGGGCGACTTTCTGGACACAAATATGTGCATCTTGTTAAAAAGTGACTTTCAAGGAGCAGGGAGGGTAAAAGGCTTGCGGTGTATATCCTAGGTCCTGAGCCAGCATTTGCAACCTTCTGTGATGTGGAAGGTCAAAATGGATTAATTTTTCCACAACCTCCCCCCACCCCATCCTATTTTCCAAGATGTGTCAGGGCTTAAAATAGTTTGCTCTTTCGATATTTCCGTAGGAAATGTGAGACGGTTTGTAGATAACGTTTTTCATAGAAAGAATTTTTACAGCATGAGTCACAACTTTTGTTAGTTGTGATTTTTTTTTTTTAAAGGATTTTTATCTCTACATTCTTGCCTGCTCTTCCTTCTTCCTACAGGACATTGTCTCCCGTGATTTATAGCCACTTTATGATGCTGTCTACTGCCAAATATTCCCCGCAATTCACCTGACAAGAGGAAGGATTTTGTTGGAGAAGCTATTGCTCTGCCAAGTCAAAATTCCCATCCACCAAGGGCAGGCGGGGTCTGGTCCTGCTTTGTTCGGGTCAAGGTTTTTACTACCTCCGTCTCGTTAACAGCCTCTTGGCTTTTTGGCAGGACGTTTTCCCAGAGGAGCGTTACCGGCATTGCTACACAGGATCCCCCTCCGAAAAAAAGCGTTCCAGTGCACCCTTCTGCACAGGGCAATGCCTTCCCGGGGCTGGTGTGGAAATCTGCTGCCCATCGTCCCCACGTCTAGCATCCTGCCTAGATCAGCTTGACAAATTCGGCTGCTCCAACACCTTTTTCCTTTTTTATTCTAAACGCTTTTTGGCTCAGCACCTCTGTGCAATCACACCAGGCTCTGCAAGCCAGTCTGAGCTCCTGCAGTTTCGAGGAGGGTTTGGGGACCTAGGTTAATCTGCCTTCAGATGACTTTGGCTCAGACAGGAGGTGAGAGTTGACCAAATCTGTAATTAAGCTCCAAGCCCTTGAGTCCTTGCAGCGTTTCTGAGTTCCTCTGGCAGCAGCCAAGGGAACGGGGCAGGGGGACGGTCGTGAACAGATAAGTGGCTGGCGTAAGCTTTGTCTGAGCAGGGGAGGTGGGGAGTGCAGCAGTCAGTGACGAAAGCTCCTCACCTTTGTTCAGATGATGCATTTGATGGCATTGTGCAACTCCTGTTTCCACTTTGAGAGGGAACTGGGCTGGTCTTCGAGCTGAAAATGAAGCCTGACTTCAGTGGTAGCAACTCTGGGCTCCTGCTGAGCACTGGTGAAAGCCCCATGCATACACAGTGTTCTAAAGTGGGTTTACCGTGTCTTTTCCTGGCTGTCGAGCGGGTAGAGGATGAAGCAGAAAGTCAGACTGCCATCCCTCTGCACTTCTGAATCTGTGAATGTTTCCCTGGATGCTGGAAATGGGAAGTGTGACCTCTCTGGGGGGCACACCATGTTGCAGCTCTTGGCCTCGTACTGAGAAAAAAAGCTGTCCGTACTTTCTTACAGCTTAGACGTAGCAACATGTAATGCCAGAGGTCTTTCCAAGTGCAGTTCATTTCCCTGGAAGTGTTGCTCTCCTTCCCTGTAGCGATTGCATAGATATCATCTGCCTGGGCTCCTGCGTTCTTTGCAGTGACGTGCTTTAACGTGTGAGCTAGGTTTGGCTCAGCTGGAAGAGGACTCCTTAAACATTCAGGGAGTTCTGGGCAAAGCAGGAAAACATTTCTAGCGGCTCACAGCGCATGATGCTGCTCTTCTGGTGTTTGAAGCGAGCGTCTTGACTCATGAGGTGCTGGGTGTAGTGCTGGCCTCCCGACACGGAGATGCAGGAAGCAATCGCTGCCCTCGCTCAAGGCTGCATGAAGGATTAGCAGGATCTTCCCAGGCACCCTCAAGTATTTCAGCCTCTAATTGCAAGCCTCTGAAGAACATCCCATTAGAGCAGCTTATTAAAAGCAACAAACGAGGCTTTCATTTATCATGACTCCAAGTCTTCAGCTTACAACTCTTAAAAGCCGCAGCTATATATGGCAGAGCCGCTCCGAGATCTACCTAGCCGCTAGAAAAGTAGTCTCATTCCAAATGCTCTCTGGGTCATCTGCAGACTCGTGGTAAATTAATTACATTGATTGCAGACACAGTCATTGGGGCCCATCATATCCATACATTTCATTAACAAAGCATGTAGGCTGGGGTTTGAAACAATGCCAAGGGTGTTAAGTCCTCCTAGCACAGGTTTATTACAGTCTGCTCTCTGGACAGTCGGGTTTGCAAACCACATAGGCGTTGTGGGGGTCACCTTAGCTAGAACTGGAGGGGTGTCGGCTGTGCATGCCTGAGATAACTGAAAGCGGTAGAGTTGGTCTGGCCAAAAAGCGGGGCAGTACCCCCGGGCCGCGGAGGTCCTGATACAGCTCCAGGCTCCTCTATGATGCCTCTGCCCGTCTGCAGCCCTTCCCTTCAAGCCAGAAGCAGAAGTCAGCTTGTTTCGAGCCAGCTTGGCTTTTGGAGATGCTGCCGCCTCAGAGCCTCGTTCTTTCCCAGCAAAGGGGATTTAACGCCACAGTGTCTTTATAGGATCACAGAATGGTTTGGGTTGGAAGGGACCTCAAAGACCATCCAGTTCCAACC